TTTTCTTCTAGGAGTTTTATGATTTCAGGTCTTACATTTAAGTCTTTAATCCATTTTGAATTTGTTCTCGTATATGGTGTAAGTAGGTGGTCCATTTTCATTTTTATGCACGTGTCAGTACAATTTTCCTAGCACTATTTATTAAATAGACTATCTTTACTCCAATGTAAATTCTTGCTTCCATTGTCACAGATTAAATGACCATATATGGATGGGTTTATTTCTGGGCTCTCTATTCTGTTCCATTGGATTTTCTGTCTGCTTTTATTCCAGTACCATACTGTTTTGATTACTATAGCCTTGTAGTATGATTTGATGTCAGGTAGCATGATATCTCCCACTTTGTTCTTATTTCTCAAGATTGCAGTGGCTATTCAGGGTCTTTTATGGTTCCTTATAAATTTTAGGATTATATGTTCTATTTCTGAGAAAAATGTCCTTGGTAGTTTGATAGGAATTGCATTGAATCTATATATCACCTTAGGTAGTATTGACATTTTTACTATATTAATTCTTTCTATCCATGAAGTATTTCCATTTATTTTTATCTTCTTTGTCGTCTCTCTTCAGTGTCTTATAATCTTTTGAGTACAGGTCTTTTACTTCTTTGTTAAATTTATTCCTAGATATTTTATTGTTTTTGAAGCAATTGTAAAAGGGATTGATTTCCTGATTTTTTTTCTTCTGATAGTTTATCATTGGTGTATACAAATGCAACTGATTTCTGAATATTAATTTTGTATCCTGTTACCTTATTAAATTCATTTGTTAAATTCATTTATCAGTTCTAGCAGTTTTTTGGTGGTCTTTGGGATTCTCTCTATATAGTATTATGTCATCTGCATATAATGAGAATTTTACATCCTCCTTTCCAATTTGGATGCCTTTTATTTCATTTTCTTGTCTGATTGCTGTGGCTAGAACTTCCAGAACTATGTTGAATAGAAGTAGTGAAAGTGGGCAGCCTTGTCTTCTTCCTGATCTTAAGGGGAAAGATTTTAGCCTTTCCCCACTGAGGATGATGTTTGCTGTGGGCTTATTAAATATCGCCTTTATTATGTTGAAATATGATCCGTCTATTCCCACTTTGCTCAGTTTTTATCATAAATGGCTGCTGGATTTTGTCAAATGGTTTTTCTGCATCTGTTCATATGATCATGTGGTTTTTATTTTTCACTTTGTTAATGTGGTGTATTACATTAATTGATTTGTGGATATTGAACCAACATTGCATACCAGGAATGAATCGCACTTGATCGTGGTATATGATCTTTTTAATGTGATGATGAATTCGGTTTGCTAGTATTTTGTTGAGGATTTTTGCATCTATGTTCATTAGGGATATTGGCCTGTAGTTTTCTTTCTTTGTAATATCTTTGTTTGATTTTAGGATCAGAGTAATAGTGGCCTCATAAAATGTGTTTGGGAGCCTTCCCTCCTTCTGCATTTTTTGGAATAGTTTGAGGAGAACAGGTATTAATTCTTTCTTGAATGTTTTGTAAAATTCACCTGTGAAGCCATCTGGCCCAGGACTTTTGTTTGTTGGAAGCTTGTTGATTACTGATTCAATTTCTTTGGTAGTAATCAGTCTGTTCAGAGTTTCTGTTTCTTCTTGGTTCAGACTTGGTATATTGTATGCTTCTAGAAATTTATCCATTTCTTCCAGATTGTCGAATTTGTTGGCATATAGTTGCTCGTAGTATTTTCTTACGATTTTCTGTATTTCTGTAGTATCTGTTGTCACTTCTCCTCTTTCACTTCTGATTTTATTAATTGGGTTGTCTCTCTCTTTTTCTTGGTGAGTCTGGATGAGTTTGTCGATTTGGTTTATCTTTTCAAAAAACCAGCTCTTGGTTTCATTG